GAGGTGTCGAATTGTGATTCCAAGCACAAGCACATTAGCTGCATTACAAATAAATGCAAATCGATTAAAAAATTAAGAATTTAAAAAACAACTACTCATCGAATACAGTTCGACAGGTTGAATAGCACTCATTTGACAAAGACCTGAATGGGTCAGAGAGGAGTGCTCAGTGAATTCAAATCGAAAATTTGTCACCTTAAGTGAACTGGATGGCATCGCACGTATCGCTAGAATGGCACGTTGTGCAACGGCTGAATTCGGATCGTGCACTGAAGCAACCAGATGCGCTACACCGCAACTCAACGACGTTTGTATCACTTTATTCGCCTTCACCGGTGCTGCATTTGCTAGTCCACATAAAACGCACATTCGTTCCACTGCAACTTTTCAGAAATCAGTATCAGTCTTACTGGATAATATGTCACGTTTTTTTTTCTCAAAAAACTTAAATGGATATTGTTATTAAATGCTTAAATGCCAATATTTTCATATTCTTTCAACATACATGATTCGAAGCTACAACGTATGAGGCTACATAGACATATTCAGTAGATCAATAAACCTCTCCAGTGAACGACAATCAATTTATTCATGGTTTTTAAGGAAACATCTAATGTTATACCTGCTTTAAGTCTCTCTTTCCAATCCGTATCTGTAAATTGTGTATTGACGGTCTTCCAAAACATTTCCTCTCCACAAGGTAGCGTTATGCAGTGCATTATCAACGGAACGGCCAATTCACCCAACTGAAAAGAGGTACGGTCAATTAATTGAAATAACTGATTCACTCAGTATTTGGAACAGACAAAGGCTGAGAGCATTCATTACCTGTGAGTGATCTGAACGCAGAAGTGCCCATAGTTTAGGTATGAGAAGATTTTCTTGCGCCCATATCAAGAAGCCTCGATGCTCACGACGAGCATTCAGAAGCGATTCACAGTGCAGACAGAGCAATTTCAGAGTGGATAACATGAAGAATTGCACATCTGTGTCAGGTTCAGA